CGCGGCTCCCGGCGGCCCCCGGGGCTGCGGGGTCCCGCCTGCAGGGGCCCCGGCCCGGGCCTCTTCCTGCATCCGCGGGGGTCCCCTGTGTGAGCGCGCGGGAACCCCGAGAGAGGAGTGAGCCACGTTAAGGCGGGGAGCGGCGGAGGCTTTGGGGCCTCCCGGGACCCCTCAAAAAGCAAAAACGATTCACCCCCCGCGTTTGCCAGCTCAGGCGTCCTGGGAAGGACGCATTCACGGCACGGGAGCTTCCCCACTGCCTGGAGACAAGCTCTGGGCAGATCGGGGTTCAAATGCCAGCGCCCCATGCCTTGGGGGAGCCCCAAACCCTACGAGCGCCTCATCTGGGAAACAGGGAGGCTTTTCCCGCCTACCCCTCGGGTGTGGATGAAAGTAAATGAGACTGCACGCAAGTGCTGAGAACACGGTAAGCGCTCGAGAGACGTCAGCTGCTGTCCTTTCTAACGTTATTGTCGTTATGAAAGGGGGTTCGCATCCCAGCTGCGTCGCTGACTCGCGGTGGGCCCTGTGGCTGAGCCGCAGTTCTCCCCGCTGTAAGATGGGGAGCAGCCTCTTCTTCGAGGCTGCTGCATGCAGGCGGCGCTCCATAAATGCAGACTCGTGCCCACGCGGAGGCGGAGGGTGGAGGCCTCCGAGGAGCTTCTCCACGGTCTCCGGGGCGCGCAGCTGGCTCGTGGCCGACCCCGATCCCTTAGAAACGCGGGGACTGAGCCAAACCGCGGTCCCGGGGCGCGGGGCGGGGAGCGCGCCCTGGCGGCGGCGCCTGCGCACTGGCGCCCTCCAGGGACCCGGCCGCGCGCGCAGGGCTGAGGCACCTTGGTTACCTGCGGCCCTGCGCCCTTTGCGTCGTCCCAGAGACCAGGGCGCGACGTTCTCTCTTTCCCCTCTTCCTTTGGGCGACTCTTGGGGGGGGGGCGGTTAGCAGAGAAAGAGAGAGAAGAAGGGGAGGAGAAATTACGCCGATGCAGAGTCCACCCTCTTCCCACGCCTTCCGCGGCCTCCGCCGGGACCACTCTCCACCGTCGCTCGCCTGGACCCGTGCAGGCGCCTCCTCCTAGGTCTTTCGGCTCCTCCCTCGATCTCGCAGTCTGTCTGCCTCACAACAGCCCAAGGGCGCCTGTGAACGCCTGAGTCAGGTCACGCCCCTCCTCTGCTCAGATGCCCCATGGCTCCCACCTTCCTCAGAGTAAAAGTCCTCCCCACAGCCCACAAGGCGCTGCACGATCTTTCTCCTTCACCTGCCCTGTCTCCCCACCTCCCCCCTCGCCCTTGCTCACTCCCTCCAGCCACATCAGCCTCCTGGCTGTTCCTCGAATATTTATCCACTGAATTAAATAACCCTTTGAGCTAATTCTCTCGCTCCCGATTTTTGAGCCTTTTCCTGGGGTTCAGAGAGAAGCCCCTCACCCCAATTATGGAGCCGGGATGTTAATGGCCCTTGCCCGGAGGAACATGGTACCTTCCTCTAATTCTCCAGCCCACCCATT